TATATATATATATATATATATATATGATACAGGTCCAACTAAGCTTCATCATCCAGCACATTTCTCTAGGCATGGCGTAGGTTTTGAGATGACTTCTTAAGCAAGAAATATTCAAACATTCATAAAAAATTCATCCAGAGCTCTGATTTTAGCAAACTTACGGTTAAACTGACCGAGTCGACGATAAGAACCCGTTGCTACCAAAATTGGTCTAATTTAAACCAAATTAAGCCTAAATCAAGCTATTAAACCGTTTTTGAATGTTTTCTAGACGCACTTGAAATGTCAAACGAATATCGATTATGATAAGTTTATAATAAAATCAAGCGTATTGACAAGACAAACCCAACGAGCCCAACATCACTTAATTCTGACATCATTAAGGCACTCAAATGTTCATTAAATTTTGTCTGATCGAGGGAAGCCCTCTAAGCCATTTGATCATAGTGATCATATTTCTGCATTAATTACACACATAACTCTATAAATAGAGCATCTTCTGATTAGGGGGGAGAGAAATTGAAGCAGGAGGAGAGCATGAATCCTGAAGAGATTGGGAAGGAGCTGAGTCCAACACCACTCCCACCGCCGTCGACCACCGCTGATCGTCGTCTAGAATAGCCGATCGTTGACCGCCCACCGACCACCACATGTCGATCATCGTCGATCGCTATCGGTTGTCGCCCATTCCTTGCAAATAGTTCATTCGCACGTCAACGTTATAACTTGGGAGGTCTTCCAACCATTTCCCCCCTGTGAGAGAATTAGTCGAAATTGTAATCATCTTTTATAGTATAACTTTTCAGTTGAGCCAACCCCATGATTTTTCTCTGTATTGGTTTTTCACGTAAAAACTTCTAATGTCATTACTAGTTATTTTTCTCTTCTGAGTGTGTTTTGAATCTTCGTACCATGCTAAGACGTTAATCTACTACTCTACTTCTGCAAATTTTCTAGCACGCATCAGTTTGGCGTCGTCTGTGGGAAACTTCAATCCCCCCACTGAAGTAGTTGTGAGGCTCACTACATGGTCACCAGACATAATATTCGTGACAACGGAACATCCCGCTCAAACACTCATCCTTCCAGGCACGAAGCCAAGGAAGACATGCCTCTTCATCTCCCACCGTGAGAGATGTTATCCTATCGATGAAGGTGTGTCAAGTCCTTTTCTGAAAGATCAAATGTACATAATGGAGAAGTCTCAACTAGTGATCTTACAACTCCTCTGCGTGGCTCAACAACCGCTACCCACACTATTGGATGGAGTTTGTTTACCCCTAACTCAGTGACCTACGGAAAATGCACCGCTCGGAGAAACTCGTATCGGCTTCCTCTCTAAGAAGGAACACTTCCCCTACCGAGTCATGATGTTAAACTCCTAGATATTGCAAATTTCACTCATCCATCTCGCGCAGCTCACCTGACACCGCCACACCTTGCTATCATTCCAGATGATGTCATTCGTAACGAGTTACGACACCTCGTCCGAAAAGAGTTCCCCATAAAGAAAAATGATTGCTTCCCCACTCAGCTTAATTTCCATGAATCTTCTTACTTAGTGGATGCAGTCTTCCAACACCTCATCCCAGTGTGCTTCAAGCTTCTAAACATTGACACCTACGAATGGATAATTGTCCCCTATGAACATATTGATCACCATCGAACCATCATGCACATTCATCATGCCTCTGATTTCTTCTATGTCAAGTTTTCACAGCCACTCTTAAAGGACAAGCTCGTACGTAGTTCTATTGTGTGTCAAGGGGCATTGTAAACACATTTAACTAGCTTGACAGACTATTCATGGAACAATTCATAGCAACTAGACAGATCATCAATGATTCATCCCATCTCTCAGGAATTTGCCAAAGTGAATGAGAGTTGCTTAAGGACTACTTCCACAGGTTTTCCACTGAAGACCTTCAGATTTCGAAAGTAGATCTAGAGTTACTTAGAGAAGTTTTCCTTGGGAGACTCAGCCCATAACCCTTCTACTCATCACTGATGCGGGACACAATTCATTCTTATGTTGACCTTGTCCACCATGTTGAGACCCAAATCACTGTGGATGAGACCATCAATGTACATAAGGAGCAGTTTGAGCAATTTGGGGGAAAGTTCAAGAGTAAGGCTGGATATAATAATAAATCTTCACAACGGAGAAAGTCTGAATAACAGAGAAATTGTGACTTCCATTCCCAACCTATTGGCCAACGAAGTGAGCATCGACCTAAGAAAGAATATACACCACTCAACATGTCGTGTGTCAACGTCCTGATGGCTATCAAATATGAGAAAACTAATAAGTGACATCATGCCCAAAAACCAAACTCGGAGAATTAGGAACAATATTTTCATTTCCATCGGAGTCGTGGCAACCCCACTGAGGCATGTAAGCAACTCAAGGAAGAGGTTGAAAGTTTCTTCGCTAGGGTTATCTTGGTCGATTTGTGCAAAACAAACTAGCTGACACTGATAATGCTCTCACTGAGGGGGGAGAGAACATACATAAAAGCAACAATTTGGGGGTCACTCATTCGTAGACAAAATTTAGGATGGAGGTTAATTGCTGACCGATCAAGTTCTTATCACTGCACTTAATGAACCAGCACAGAAGAGATTGTGCCTCAAGCTTATCACTTTTGATGATTCTGATTTGGAAGGAGTCCAACTCCCCCACCAAGACCCTCTCATCATCAACGCAGGAATTGACGAACCTACTACAATTTAAAGAGGATCATAATCGATAATGGGAGCTTTGTCGATGTCTTGTTCTACTCAACTTTCCTCAATCTGAGACTGATAAGGTAAAAACTTCAACCTACTTCCTAGCCATTATATGGATTTTATAATCAACTGATAAGGGTCGAGGAACAATAAATCTCCCTATTGTCATAGGAGAATTTTTTTTTTTACAGACAACCCACTCAATCCAATTTATCAACATCAAGTCAGAATCAACATACAATGTCATCTCTAAGAGACCCTTGCAATCAATCTTTGACATTGTGACTTCTATGCCACACCTGAAGCTCAGGTTTCCAACCCCGGTAGGAATCAACGTCGTATGAGGGGATCAGTAGATAGTGCAATCATGTTACCTCTGGCAAGCCCAGCCACACCCATCGGTGACACTTAGCGTCGAGAAATTTAATCTTCAAAAAGAAGGTGTATCTCAACATACTTCTCTCGTGGAAGATTTGATCCATGTCCCACTCTCTGATGAACACTCCTCATGAATAGTGCGGCTTGGTTCCCTACTCTCTGATGAGCGGAGGTTGGAATATGTTGATCACCATTAGAGGAACCAGAACTTTTTGCATGGACTCCGACCAACATGCCTGGAGTCAACCCATAAATAACCATACACTCTTTAAAGGTAGATCTAATCTTTAAACCAGTCATCCAAAAGAAGCGCAACTTCACCCTAGATCTGTTACAAGCTATTGAGCAGGAAGTCAACAAACTTATGGAGGCAAAATTCATATGGGAAGTACAACACCCCGTATGGCTATGCAATTTTGTCATGATAAAGAAAGCCAGCAGTGCATGTAGAATGTGTGTCAACTAAACCTAATTCAATAAGGCTTGTCTGAAAAACAATTTACCCCTCAAGCACATAGATCAACTTGTTGATGTCACGTCTAGATAGCAGATGCTCATTTCATGGATGCATACTTGAGGCAAATCAAATAAAGATGAATCTGAGAGACAAGGAAGCCACCGCCTTCCATGTATTGCTACTAAGTTATGCA